CTCTCTCTCTCTCTCTCTCTGTCTCTCTCTCTCTCTCTCTCTCTCTCTCATTATATGGGTATGTACATGCCCTTCTTTCCTTCTCTATATTTTCTCCTAATTTTCCAGTTTTATTTTTTTTAGTTATATTATGCTAATTGGTCTTTGTAAAGAGTCTGAAAATAATCATCCACTGTTAAATCCCTCTTGGCACTCAGCCACAGGCTACAAAGAGCTGAGTAAGAGCAAAGGCCTTCCACTGCAAATCAGCAGTCTGCAGCTGCTCTGGTGGACAGCTCCCTTCTTCTCCGAGGTGAAGCAACTCAGCTGTGCGTGTTACCATGTAGCCTGTTGTTGGAGTCCAGTTTCTTCACATGCATCACTGAGCCTGGGGCGGGGGCGGGGGGGAATCTGTCCGGCTGTTTTAACATGCTAACACAGATAAGCTGTATAAACTGGAAATTCAGACTGTTGGAGTTGGTGTACTGTGTTTTCTGATGCTTTGGTCACAGCTCTGTAGTTGACTCAGTATTTACTGAGCTTTGTCCTTAGGGTCATCAATTAGTTATATTGGATTTCCTCTTATTTGGTTGAATTTGGTCGAGTAAGTTTTTTCCTCTTAAGTTTTGAAGTGAGATTACTATCCATGCATCAAAAAGTACACAAGTTAGTGTGCAGTTTGAACTTAGGTGAGCATCCCAGTATGCGCTCCTGTATCGTCTTCATCCCAGTGTTCTCCTGTGTCGTCTTCATCCCAATGTTCTCCTGTATCTTCTTCATCCCAATGTTCTCCTGTATCGTCTTCATCCCAATGTTCTCCTGTATCGTCTTCATCCCAATGTTCTCCTGTATCGTCTTCATCCCAATGTTCTCCTGTATCGTCTTCATCCCAATGTTCTCCTGTATCGTCTTCATCCCAATGTTCTCCTGTATCGTCTTCATCCCAATGTTCTCCTGTATCGTCTTCATCCCAATGTTCTCCTGTATCGTCTTCATCCCAATGTTCTCCTGTATCGTCTTCATCCCAATGTTCTCCTGTATCGTCTTCATCCCAATGTTCTCCTGTATCGTCTTCATCCCAATGTTCTCCTGTATCGTCTTCATCCCAATGTTCTCCTGTATCGTCTTCATCCCAATGTTCTCCTGTATCGTCTTCATCCCAATGTTCTCCTGTATCGTCTTCATCCCAATGTTCTCCTGTATCGTCTTCATCCCAATGTTCTCCTGTATCGTCTTCATCCCAATGTTCTCCTGTATCGTCTTCATCCCAATGTTCTCCTGTATCGTCTTCATCCCAATGTTCTCCTGTATCGTCTTCATCCCAATGTTCTCCTGTATCGTCTTCATCCCAATGTTCTCCTGTATCGTCTTCATCCCAATGTTCTCCTGTATCGTCTTCATCCCAGTGTTCTCCTGTATCTTCTTCATCCCAATGTTCTCCTGTGCCGTCTTCATCCCAATGTTCTCCTGTATCTTCTTCATCCCAGTGTTCTCCTGTATCGTCTTCATCCCAATGTTCTCCTGTATCTTCTTCATCCCAATGTTCTCCTGTATCATCTTCATCCCAATGTTCTCCTGTATCTTCTTCATCCCAATGTTCTCCTGTATCGTCTTCATCCCAATGTTCTCCTGTATCTTCTTCATCCCAATGTTCTCCTGTATCATCTTCATCCCAATGTTCTCCTGTATCTTCTTCATCCCAATGTTCTCCTGTATCGTCTTCATCCCAATGTTCTCCTGTATCTTCTTCATCCCAATGTTCTCCTGTATCATCTTCATCCCAATGTTCTCCTGTATCTTCTTCATCCCAATGTTCTCCTGTATCGTCTTCATCCCAATGTTCTCCTGTATCTTCTTCATCCCAATGTTCTCCTGTATCATCTTCATCCCAATGTTCTCCTGTATCTTCTTCATCCCAGTGTTCTCCTGTGCCGTCTTCATCCCAA